ATGCTACTGGGATGCCGGATATGATTTTGCAAACTATATCCTGGGATATCAAATCCAAGATATATTTTGCACTGCATATTCTGAAATGTATTGCCATGAAATATCGCCAGTTTTGTATTAACATTTCAAGCTAGATTCGTTGCGGTTCCTCATCCATATACTTTTAGCTCTACATCCGAAGTACTGACGTACGTCGTACTATTGAAACTGCTCAAAATGTCTTGAAAGGCATGAAACTTACCAATGCAACAGTTCACGTCGAAGCGAGCACTGATGATGATTCGGTAAAAACATGCAAAACCTTTTATTCTTCTATCCTATTATCCATGCGTAGAAGAATCGGAATTCGAATCGGTTCTATTCTGAAAGCAGATGCCTTCCATGAAAACTCCATTCGCATAAAACTTTGCAAACTTTCAGGGACATTTTCATTTTGCAGGCAGGAAATCCATTTTTCTACTGCCCTCGAGCAAAACAATACGTTCTGGATCAAGAAACAGACATGCGCGAGAATTATAGTGTAAGCAAATTTTTTCTAGCTGGGGAGGAAATAGATAAACTCAGAGTTTTCAGTTGAAATCTCATCAATTTAATTAAATAGCCAGCGCGCCGGCTGCCGGTGCGAAGATGTGCGGGTCTTTGTCACTAACGGCACCGGTTTTTCCGGCAAATGCTACTAGCTAACATAATTGAGACCAGCCACCTGGGCTGTCTGAAAACATCTTCTTAAAATTTCAGTTTTCTAGCTTTCCTGGTTTTCTAGTTGGCAACTTACCGGCAAAAAATTTCACTGGCCCGTACAGAGGAATCACGAGTACCCACAGAATGGATTTGAGCTCATTAATACTTATGTAGACATGAAAAATCCCCTTAAAGTTCCAGTCTTCTAGCTTCTCAGGTTCCCAAGTTAGCAACTTACCGAAAAAACTTTGGCGGGCCCGTATACGCGTGTAAATCAAGTTCCGAAAATTTCAGCCCTGCGGCTTTTGTAGGTCTCGAGATGAAAAATCGGCACAGACAAATACACATACACAGACGGACGCAAAGACACAAAAGCACGGAAAACCTCTCATCAATATGCGTTTTCTGCGTTGCACAGATGCAAAAAACGCATAAAAAGGCTTTTTCTTTGTCAGTGATACAAGTGGAAACACTTACGAGCTGCTTATAAAATATAAAAATACACCGAAAAATAAAAATATATCAAAAAATAGACGCTGGGATTGTTGTTCCTAAGTATCGAACGCAGCTATGCCAGACTCTTTCGAAGTATATTCATAAACTAACTAGATCACGTGAAATATTTAGTACAATGCGCTGCGCGTATCCAAAAAAATGAAGTGTGAAACAAAAGATCAGTCAGCGCAGGAAAAAGTAGTGGTGCTTAGCTGGTTTACATACACATTTGTATTATATGTTTGTTCAATAACGATAATCAGGATCAAAGATAGTCACCAACAAAATCACATTTCTTGTGAAATGAGTGCTTTTATCTCAAATTTTTATTTTTTAATATATATTTGCTAATAAATTATGTAAGGAGCTTTATAACCAATCGTGGGAATAAACTGTAGGATGTAGGAGAGTGTGGTTATACACGAATGTCGGCCATATAAAATTTTGATTTGAAGGGTTTTTGAGCATATTTTACTACAACGCATTTCAAAGCTCAACCAAGTTTAGTCCCTCCTGATTTCAGGAAGTATATGACTTGATGATGCGAGAGTTGAATTTCAGTGGTTATGCATTTCTGGTGTACGATACGATCGAAGTATTTGTAAGTGCTTGTTTTTATTTACTGGCTTTTCCCCTAAATTAGCAGATTGATAAGATGAAGGTTAAAACTCCTTACATATTTTACTCAAAAGTGCAGTTACCCTACTGCTAGAACAACTACCCCATTATTAAGTCAGTCGGTAGCTATATCTTTCGAGAGCTGCTTAGAAGCTAACTGATAGCAATCGTTGATCGTAGGACCTGATCGAAAAACATTTATTTCTGTAATGAAACTGTGCAGTCACACGTCAAAAACAACTTAGCTTCTTATCAATTCAGCTATTTGTTGCACACCCATGGTCCCTTCTCGGTTATTAACAGCTGGTAGGCAAGGCCATTTACCGGCCTGTTAAAAACATCTAAATTTTTTGTTCTATGCTTTATATTAGGAACTTTTCATCTTTGAAAATCGTAGTGTAGCCAGGATTTCTCCTTTATTAAGAGTTTTAGTAAACGATGAGTAATTAATTTTCTCGAGCAAATGAAGAAACAAACCATTAACCTATGATTAAAAATTAGTTCAGAATTGTACTTTAACACTTCGATTAACGTCTGCCTCACATCGCGATCCTTCATCTCCAAACAAGAAAGCGTGTAGAGTGGCACTGGAAAGATCGCCACTAAGATGGAAGAGTCTTTTTTAACACCCGTGCGGGGTTTTTTCAGACATGACAACCTCGCAATGGCACGAAATGGATTACAAGCTACCTGAAAACCGGAAAATTAATATTACTTTTGAAAAATCAAAAAAAAAATGAATTATTATGGGGACCCTGAAAAACCAGTCTGCTTTTCTTCTCTCCTATGTGCTACGACTTTGGCATTTCATCGCACGAAAGCATCCTCTTGAAACCGCTAAAGTCGGATTCCTACATCATTTGTTCGCACAGTCTAGATATTGCTGGTAGTGAAATATGCATGACAGGTTTTGTGAATGTATGAAAAAAAATATTTTTGAAAACGACGAAATACAATCGTTTATAAACATTTTGTTTGTTTTGTTCTTTGATTTGAAAAATTTGGATATTTTTCGCTTTTTTTAAATTTTTCAAGTGGACAAAAATTGAAAAACTGGTTTAAATTTTTTGCTCTGAAAATTTTCGTTTGAAAAATTACAGAAAGCACATGATCTGAAGTTGCCGAAATGGATGAATGATGAGGTATTGATACAAAAATTGAAGATTATGAGCTGGGAAGTGGTAAAAGCGCAGTTCGGTGTTGGAGCCTATGACAATGAACAGCAAAGGAAGATGCGAGGTGCATGCTTTGCAAAAGCGTTGCTGCGAGTTTAAAAGTGACACTGCGTTTGGGCAAACGAACCCCTAACATCCATGCTGTCAGTGTAAAATCTGATTTCAAGATCTCTTAAATTTGAGATTGGTGGAAAGGCAGTGCTTAAAAAGAAGAGGACGTATCAGAAAGATGGCTTCCGCTAGGCTTTGTGATGAGTTCTGCTAGTGAATCTTTCGATGAAATGTGGAAAAAGTTAAGCTGAGAGCTGAAACACTCTCTGCAAATTTTTGTGAATTACTGAGATTGCAACGATAAAAAACCAAGTCTTTTATAATATGTTCATTGGTTTCGATAGTAAATTGGTATTGACAAATGCGAGAGAGCCAAAATTACCATCAGTTGCTT